CCTCTATATACATATACACACATGCACTCCACCTATAGGAGCATTTATAAAAATGTTTTACTTTCAAAATCTACCATTTGATCTCCAAAACTCTATTGACTTAACTTATTCAAGGGACTTCATCAATTGCAAATTTGCTTTGGACCTCCCTGAAATCTTTCAGCTACTTGGCCAGAGTGGTTAGGTTTTGGAGCAAAGATTATGGAAAGCTGAACCACTGGCAGCTTCCCTTAAACTATACTCTGTTTCTACATGTGTCTTATCCATACATAGTTAAAATAAATAAGTCCAAATTGTTAACATGGCTTTGCGGTCGGTAAACATTGTATTCATTCTACCAGTCTGTCCTATTTCTAGTCATGTGTCACAGATAAGGACGATAAAGTAAGTACAGATTACACAGCTTGATCAAAGTCACATCGTTTGTGAGGAGGGAGACCTGAATTTTATATAATGGACTCACATCAATTCAAACCTTAAAATGCAGTCACCACCAGAATCTAAGAACTCTTCCAAGTCAAGGAAATAGAAAACAATCATCCTGTGAGTTCTCTAGAATATGTCTCCAGTTTGATGAGATTCAGTTTTAAATCATCTTCCTAAAAGGGACTTTCTTTTTAGTGTGTTTTGATTTCACTACTTGCTCCTGGTGCAATTACAAATAACATTCATCCTCTCAACATCTCAGACCCACACTATCTCCAGCTTTAAGACAAACTCAATAAAACCATCAGAGGTGTACTTTCCAAAAAAGACTGATAATAGAACAAGCAACAATAAAACAAATACTACCAGGCCAGTTAGCAGGACTCTGGTTGCCCTGCACAACAGGACATTCCCAATGGGTTGAGTCCCTGTACATTTTGTCCACACTTCCAGAATTTCCAATTTGACAACTTTCTCTTTCATGCTAGGTTAGGGGCCTTAGAGCCTCTCTGTGCTGCCAGAAGACCAAGCTCCAATTTATTCAGCATTTGCATGGTTATTCTTCCTCCAGAGACAAAACAGGGTGTTCTCTGTGAATTTCAGACTAGCTTTATCTACAAAGTGACTTCCAGGGCAGTCTGGGCTACACAGAAAAACTCTGTTTTCAAAAGCCCAATGAATGAATAAATGTGTTACATTTATTTATTTGTTTGTTTGTTTATATATTTTGGTGTGTGTGTGTGTGTGTGTGTTCACTGAACAGCTTATAAAAATCAGTATCTTGATCCCTTCCAGATGTGGGTCCTGGTAGTCAAATTCAGTTCATCATGCTTGACCAAGCAACAATCTTTACTAGTGAGTAAAGGTATCCTGCTGACTATCTCTTCTTACTTTTTTCCTTTTCATCCTTCAAGTCTCTTTTGAAGGCTCTATCGTTCTGAAATGCTTTCCCATTACCAGGGACTCCCAGCACTTCCAGTCTAGTAACTTCGCATTATGGTGTTTGCAGTATCACAAGCTCATTCTTGTTTTTTAGCATCTTCAAAAATCAAATATATGCTTTGTGTTGTGGATTAAATCAGTGCTGGAGAGAACTTAGAAATGGGTTATATAGATAGTAAAGAGCTTGCTGCACAGGCATAAGAATCTGAATTCAATGTCCAGCACTCTGTAAGAAACAGGCATTACATTTGATCCTATGACAGTAGCTGGAGATGAAGAAACAGGAGGATCCCTGGAGCCCTCTGGCTTGCTTGTTTAAGAAAGTTAGTGAACCTAAGGTTCAATGAGAGAGTGTCTCAGAATATGATTTGAAGAAATTGTAGAAGATGACAATATTGAGTTCCTTCATATGTATGCATACACACAGACACACAGACACAGACGCACAGACACAGACACACACACACACACACACACACAGCTTTCTTTTCTGCTTATTTTTTCTTTTCCTTGTCTTTTCTGCCCTTCATCCTATACCTCTTCTCTGTCTTTCTCCTTCTTGCCCCTCTCCTTCCTTTCTCCTTTTCTATTTCATCTTCTGTCCCTTCCTCCTCATCCTTCTTTTGTTCCCCATATTCATCCCATGTTGTTCTTCCTTTTTCTTTCTTCTACTCCTTCTTGTCTACTTGAAGTTGAGAAGCCTCTGTTATTGGCATGGAAGGAAAAGAATGCCGGCCTCAATAAGAAACTCATATAACAGTGTCATTAAACAAGTAAAACCTAAGATAAATATATGAAAGATAGTTTGCAATACATTTTTTTCTCTTGTCAGAATTTCCTCACTGCAATCATCCAAATGTGTTAAAGATGACTTTTTCCCAAAATAGGAACAAAGGAAGCCTCTATGCTCTGGGCTGTCTGTTAACTCTGAGAGCCAGACAGCTTGATATGCTCCCAGGCAATACCTGTTTATTGATTGTCCCAAGCAAGCAGCACTCCATCAGACTTGAGAGAAGAAAAGTGACATTCTTTTGTAGGGCTGAAAAATGGCCTGAAAGGCTTTGTTAGGATGTCAGCAAGCTACTCTGTGAAGAGATTAGAGCAGCTAGAAACATGGGGGAGAGGTCCTGAACATGTACCTGCCAATGTCATCAGACAGAAGTTAAGAAGATCAAGGATAGCCACTTCATAGGAGGCAGACTGAAGCTGTGGTGCAAGTGTCCTGTCACTTAGCCATCAGCAATACTCAAGTACTTCAAAGAATATATGTGGGATGACAAAAGGCAACTCCATGGGTACAATCATTCTATTGTCTTACCAGTCTTATGAAAAAATATACTTTATCTGAGACATCCTAAGAGCACAAATATTAAGCTCCATTTTTATATTCTAATAATTAGGAGAAAGGCATGGTAAATTGTTTTATCCATTAAGTGATTACGTGGAAGAAAAGAAAAATAAAGTCACAGAAAAGAACTGTGAAATATATACTGTCTGAAGACTCTTAGAGACTTGGAAGTATGAACTGAGACACTTCTAATCATCATTCCTTTTGACCTAGTGCCCTTTCTTCAGAGTAATCATTTAAATAATACAACTCATGGTATTGGGAAAATGGCTTGGTCAGAAGTAGTTTCTTTGAACACACACATAAGCCCCTGAATCTGTTTCTGAAAATTCATGTAAAAGCCAAACAAGAGTGTTGTGTGCCTGGAATCTCAGGGATAGTTGGTACATAGTGCTGATGCTGGGAGCTGGCTAACCAGGCAGTGAAACAAAAAGCAGTGAGATCCATGTTAGATGAGAAAAACTATCTCAGAAAAAAATAAGGAGAGAAGAAATTGACAACTGAAATCAGTCTTTGGCCTCCACATAGACAAGTACAGATGAATATAGATCCACTCAAATGCAAACTCATACATATACACCCACCTACACACCAGGAAAAGAATCCATATCTTGTGGAACATGCTGCGATCTTTGATCATTCTGTTCCAAATCTCATTATTCTCATCATGCTTCCAGTCATTAGACTATCCTTTAACATATGGTTTCACTTCTACTTTCATGTCTCCTGTATGTGTAACTCCATGCATTTAATGAAAGCTAGACCCACAAATGAGAAAAAGTGGCTAAAAAATTAAATACTAGACCAACTAGCTATCTTAGCCACAAGAACTCCAAGTCAGCTTCCCATAGGCACTTGCACATCTGTATTTTTTTTGCAGTACATTTCATAGTAGCTAAATAATGGAGTTTTTCTAGGATTCTGACAATTGAGGAATGGCTAAAGAAAACAAAGTTCATATACATGATAAAATTATATTCAGCCCTGAACAAGGATGAATTTATTCCAACTACAGGAAAATATAACTCCTTTCTATATGTTCCAGCCCAGTCCCATTCTCCTGACATCCCACTCTTTCTATCATCACTGCTCCACTCTGGCTCCTTGATTCTTCACAGTTTCTCTGAGGACACTATTACACCTTTGGGTCCACTCCTTCCATTAATTTAAAAATCCTTTTTTCTATAACTTGGACAAGATCAGCCAAGGCCTTCAATCTGAAGCTTTCCAAATGCCCACCATTGACAAGTAATCATTGATATACAGTGCATTCTGGTTTTATAATCTCACCGCTCAAGGTCTGAACATAATTTGCCTCCCATGAGAGGTAACACTACGGCAGCTTCTGGCCAATAGAATGTGAGCACAAGTAATCCTCGTATACTTTTTCAATAGAAACCTTTGGATAAAACACAGCCTTATTTTCTTATCATATATCTCCTTCTTTTGGCCATATAAATATTCAGATGATGAGATCTCTGCCAAAATTAGGACAAAGCGGCAGAAGGCCTGCCAATGTGAGAGTGACTCCATGTATAGAGTGACTCCATGTTGTATGATGAATGGGAAGTGTCTCTCATAAGTCCATGTTTGAATACTTGGTCTCTGGCTTGTGGTCTCTTTCTTTGGGCATGTTGCAGAACTTTTGATGGTGGAATCTCATAAGAGGAAATGCATCACTTATGGTAGGGCTTGAGACTGTTCAGCTTTATGCCATTTTCTATTTATTCTCTCCTACCTGAGTGTGAATACAAAGTGATCTTCTAGTGTTTCTGTTCTTTCTACCATGCTTTCCCCCACCAGTTGCCTTTTCTTCCTCCATTATGATTCATCATATGCTTTTGGAACTGTAAAACCAAATAAATGCTTTCTCTCTTAAGTTGATTTGGTCAGAGTATTTTTATCATAACAGCAAGAAAATAACTAAGACAGACTGCACTCCACTTGTCACTTGGACTAGTGATATATGCGAGTTACCTGTTGTAACGGTACAACACAAGCCATCAAGAAAATACCATTTGTTGCACAGCTCTCTTATGTACACACTGCACTATTTTCTCTTTTACTATAGCACATATTCAACTTCTGTTTGTTTGCCCTATTCACATAAACTCCATAAAGATATGTCTTTGTCCATGCCTTTTCCCTGCCTCCTTCAGAATGTGACATATTACATCTGATTGAATAATTCATGCTAAAGGAATAAACAGTACCCACACAATACTGAATATAGTGTCCCCATACTGCATTCCAGGAGTTGTGCCCATATATTGTGTGTACTCACAGTCATGACAAGTAGCTCCTGTGTAACCAGTGTCATTGCAATTGCAGTAGAAGGTAGTCCAGGTCTGGGCACAGTGTCCTCCATGTTCACAGTAGTTTGGCAAACACCTAATGGAAAATTGTACAAACCCAGTAAGCCAAGATGATTGAAACAGAAAGGCAAGAAAAAAAAAGAACCTTCCAGCAGCAATGGGAAACAGAATTGCTAATATCTCATAAATGTCAAAGATAAATGATAAGAAAACCATACAGATGTGCTCATATTGCTGAATAGTGGGATATCAGAGCTAAATTCTACCTTTAAGGTAAAGCTTAAACACGAGCACAGAAAAAGCTGAATAGAAGTGAGAATATTCTATAGAATGGTGTGTTTATCATGGTAGAATGTGTATCAGGTTATAATTTTATTCTGGAATGTCCTGTGGCTTCTTAAAGGAAAAGAAAAAAAATTTCTCAGTCCTTGAGATACTGTCTATATTGTGTTTTTGGAATGGTCAGGAAATTATCTGAATCCACAGGAAAGAACATGGTTTAAAGATTAATGCCCCTAAATTACCATGCAAGGCAATTCTACCTTTTCAGGAACCGTCAAAGCCATCCTGAAGACCTTCACTAGTTATGATATACCAGAATGGTGTTCTTCTATCCAAATCAAGTAAAGTACTTTACCCTCACTTCTCCACCTCCCACTCACCTTCACTCATTCCTCACACACCCTGTGGAGTAGCACTGCTTTGAACATCATCCACCAGCACATCTCTACTCTTTGATATCATCCCGTTCCCTTGCTTTTTCCTATTTTTTCTCTTATTGTTGGTAGGAGTGCTTGCATACATGTTTGTAGACACCACATACATGTGTATGTGATGCTGGAGGAGGCCTAAATGGTGTTGAATCCTTCAGAAGTGAAGTTACACATACTTGAGAGACATTACATAGCTTAGTCAACCTTCTAACTTGACTTCTGATCATCTTTTACCCTTAGCTCACTTTTCTCAAGAATTCCCTGAGGTTATGTAATTCCTCCCCTTTTACTGTATCTGCCATCATACTGACTCAGTGAGAACTCAGTATCACACAACCTTTCCTGGAGGATAACAAAGAGTTTATTTTTAAATTCTATTTTTACATTTATTCATGAATTTACTTATTGAGCATGTGTAAATGTGGTAGAAGGGGACTCTTGCCATATGGGATCCATGTAGGTCAGAGGACAACTTGAGGGAGTCAACTCTTCCCTTCTACCATGTGGGTCTCTGGAATTGAACTCAGGTTTTCAATCTTGACAGTAAGCATCTTTATTATCTGTGCCACCTATTGCCTCAACAAAACATTTGCTGCTTTAACAACAGAAAGATAACCAATGGAAAGTAAGCAATGCCTTTTCTATGTTCATTTTAAGTATGATGCCAAGAACACTGCAAGTAGCCTCATTTTAGTGGTTTACATTATAGAAAACAAAATCACAGCATTTGTTGTGCTCATGATTTTATACATGTGAAGAATATAAAGAAGGCGAGAAAAAGAACTGATAACCTGCAGCATGCCGCACAAGAGATGGAAGATAAACTGATGACATCTGTGTGTTTATTTAGTTTCTGTTTCCCAAGACCTGCTTGGTGTCCCAGACTTTCTGACTACTTTCTGTACTGTGTGTTCCAGTCTGTGAGATTAAAAAAGAATTTTTCTGAAGAATACACATTTCACTCTTATTGGTTGGATTTGAGGCTCTGTGAGTTTAAACTAAGCTGGAGCTTAAGATTTACTAGGAAATCCTCCTAGGTCCTGGAAGAAATAAATTAGTAAAGTATGTTTTCACAAACATGAGGGCCTGACTTCAATCACCCAGAATTCTTGTATATAATTGTACACACTTGTAGTTCTAGAGTTGAGGAGACAGAGACAGTCAAATCCTTTCTACTCATTGACTATCCAGTCTAGCCTATTTGTTGAGTTACAGACCAGTGAAAGACTTGTTTCAAAATCAAGATGAATGATGCCTGAGGAACAACACCCAAGCATATACTTTGGCCAACACATGCACAGTTCTATATGAGAGTATCTGTACATACATCAATATTAAACATGTACATGTAGGTACACACACAGTATAACATTCTATAATTATAAAATGAACTACCCTTTTTCTTATATAATATACATTACAATGATTTTAGTGTAATATTCTCAAGTCCAGTAGACTGTGGAAAGTGAAAGCTTGGGAAAGTTGTCAGTATACCAGCCTTTGAACACATCATTAGCAAATCTCCAAAAGACTTTGCACTAGTGTTCAGAAACTCAAGTTAACATTAGAAATGCACATGTCAAAATCACATGTCTACTTTGAAGCCTCTGAAAGAATCAATGATGTTTTTCTTGGAAAGAAAAAAGCATATTTGAGAAATGGAAAAATTGAATACTCTTAGAAAAATAGACAAAAATGAGTAAGAACATGAGAACATGCATGGCTGCCTTACAGCAAGTTTCATTTGGGGCCAGTTCACAGAGATAACTGTTCCAATTCTAATTTATACACACACACACACACACACACACACACACACACACACACACACACACATACACATATACACCAATCCTACTAAAACAGCAAAATGCTGGAGGCATGTTGGCAAACACTATACTGGGGAGGTGGAGATGGGGTATATCACAGAGGCTTGCATGACAACCACTCTAGCCTAATCTTCCAGGTCCAGGTGCCAATTATAGGGACTGTCTCAAAAACAAAACAAAACTAAACTAAACTAAAAAACAGAATAAAGTGACACCCAACACTGTCCTCTAGCATTTACTCACAGGTACACACATTCCCCAACCAATCCTACACACAACTGTATATATGTTTACATACATGTACACATATATCAGAATGATATCTTTGATAAAATGAGATGTTTAAAAATATAAAAATTCCTTAAATAGGAACAACTAAAAAATTATATAAATGATAAAACATATTCACTTATGTATTATATAACAACAATGACACACAACTAATCCTATAAATCCCCTAAAACTGGAAAGGCAGATTTCAGTTTATTTTTATGTGTGTTCCATTACTAATGTGAAATCCTTAAATTACAGTGACCAAAGACAGTTTCTGCCATATTCCTCAATGTTCTTCTTTTCAAGTGGCTGAGCATTTTTCATGTTTTATCTGAGTTGATGTAGTTTCATTCTGATCCTTAACACTCATATTAAAAACAACACTGATTAGGCTGTTTACTTTCTGAACAACTGGAAACATGATTGCAGGTCATGTAAAAAAGCTGTTAAACCTGAAGTTATCAGTATTAAAACTTTACACAATATTATCATGGGACATTTAATAGGCCCATGAGAATTCTTTATATTCAGAAATAAAGAAACTTTTGGAGTTATACTAGATGATGTATCACTAGCTCTTAGTGTTCACTAAGTAGATCCATTCATCATGTCACTCTGCTTTCTGAATATCTTTTCTTGAGGCCTACTGTGAACAATATGAGGAAGGTTCTTCCCGAGGACACTGATGGCATCATGTCCACATTTTTGTTGCTGAACAAGTTACATATGCTCCTAATGCATGTAACTGGTTATTAAAAGATTCTGAATTTACTATCAAAATTCCAATAATCAGAACATTGAGCTAATATTTAGGGGTGACAAAAAGTATGTTACTGAAAGGTGTAAAGTCCCAAGTGACTCTCTTGGAGCAAGAAACTTCTTATATTTTGAATTACTCTGTAAACAAATTTGAATTATCAAATTTTAAAAACAAGTATACATTTTATTTAAACATATTTGCACTGGATATAGTAGAGTTAAGAGTAAACATGAGCTGTGATGTCAGAAGGAATATTATTTAGGGTCCTAAGCTGTCATCAAATCAATCAGCTTAATAATCATTGAAAGACTTTCCAGTTTTCCTGTTTTATACTTCATGTGTAACAAGAAATATGCAACACTTTCTTCCTACAAATGCCACATTTCCAAAGTAATAAATAAGACTTTTTCTTTACATAAAAACACTAATCACACTTTAGTAACATATAAATAATTATTTCCATTTATACTTTAAAAAAAATATGTCCTTGGTTTGATACTTGTAAATTTCAATCAAAAGTTTAATATGTATGAGACAATTAACATAGACCTTATAGTAAAATGTAGGAGAGAGTAATGTTCACTGAAGTTGAATAATCATTTTCTAAATTTTGTTTTAATCACATAGTCATTACTTTAATAAAGTAAATTCACATTTTTATAAAGTCAAAAGAAAATAGTTTAAATGTGGTTTGAAATATGCAAAGGTATGTGTTTAAGTGATATATTAAATATTTTAAAAGTTCCATTAGTCTTGATTAATTTAGTTTCCGTTCATCAAGGTCTGTGTCTATTGGTTAGAGATTGTGGCAGATAAGCTTAAAGTAGGGGAGCCTGGAAGCAGAGCTAGAGACAAGACACAATCTCAAAGGCTCCACCTCCACTGATCTATTGACATAGGTTACTAGCACTCTAATTCTTCAGTCTTCAATACAACAGCCATTTGGGACATACTTCTCACGTAAATTTTGAAATCTCAAAACAATTCCCTTGCCACTGCCAGAGCTCTGAAGAATATATATATATATATATATATATATATATATATATATACACACACACACACACACACACATATACATATATATGCTTCTCTTTACCTGAAAATCCACTTATTGGGAAAAAATGGCCCAGAAATATTTATGTATATGTACAAAAGCATCTGTAAAATTATTAGTAAGATAACAATTTTTAAAATAACAATTATATATAGTATCAAATATAGTACATTGAGGATGTATAAAAGGTGACACGCCTATACTGTGGAGTGCAGAGGCAACTAACATGAAGAGGTACATCTGAATGTAAGCGTAAGAGAAAGTCTTCCAATAAACCACATGCTAGCCAGTGAAACACGGTATGTCTATATGGCTCAGTAGGCAAGACCACTTGCAAAGACCTGAGTTCAATTTTCTAGTACCAGGTAAAAAGGCAAACGTGCCTGAGCTTGGCTGTAATCTCAGCACTGTGGGGTATAGAACAGTACATCTATATCAGCTTAG